GACACAGCTTGGGTGTATGGGAGGGGACCCATCGGTAAAATCACCCGGGGAACGCCCTTCCACAGGGAGCTTTTGGGGGGCAAACGGCTCGGAAAAGAGCCATGGGGACCTGCATCAGTCACCAGCTCTGCTGCTTCCTTGCTGGGAACCCCCAAATGCTGCTTGGGTTGCGCCGAGGGCGGTTTGGGATGCGCCGAGCCGGGAATTTGGCAAGGGTGGAGAGGCCGGGTGTCCTCGGCTCGGGTTAGCAGGTAATAAAGTAGAAGGTAGTTCAGCAAAAAAGAAAAACCCCTCTGCCTGTCTCGGCGTGTTTTTGTCTTTGGAGAGGGAGAAGATGCTCGCGGTGTTTCCTACCTGGAGCAGGGAAAAGCGACGGAGCCTGGGGTTGGTGCACAAGGAGAGCCAGACACGGGCGGCTTGCGGGGCACGGGGCTCCCTTTTTATTCCTCGCCCCATGCCGGCACCTCCCACCGCCGAGCCCGCTGCGCCCTTGGCGTCTCACCCTCTCCATCGGTGCAACGCGGCGTCCCCTTCTCCAGCCTGCCGACAGCAAGGAGCAGGCACAAATGACACCGGATTTTGGCACAAGAACCAGCCCCGGGTTACCCCCACCCTTTCCCGGTGGAGAAGAGCACCGTTCCCCTTGGGAAGAGGCTCCCTCTCCCCCGAGACGTCCCTTTCCGGGGTCCCCTTCGCGGCAGGGTGCAGGCACCGTTCACCCATCGCTGCTGGGAGACATCCCACCCCGATGCCTCGCTGGAGCAGCCCCGTCACCCACCCCGGTGCCACCCTCCGCCCCTTAAATGTCACTTGGTGTCCTTCGATTTGTCCCCAAGCCGAGTTTTGCCTTGGGCACGGTCCTCCCTCCCCATCCAGCGCACCCATGGGGGGGGTCTCGGTCCTTCAGGGCTCCTCGCCGCTGCAGGCTCCGGGTGGCTTCACCAGCCCCGCGGTGCTGTGGGGCTTCTTCCCCACCATCCGGGTCCTGGAGGGGGGCAGCGGTTGGGAGGCGAGGGGGAAAGCGGCTTTGGGGAGGTGGCTACGGCGGTGTTTGGTGAGGTGGGAGCTCTGGCTGAAGGCTTCGCCGCACTCAGGGCACTCGTAGGGCTTCTCGCCGGTGTGGACACGGCGGTGCCGCTCGAGGTGGGACGCCCAAGCGAAGCCCTTGCCGCACTCGCCGCAGGTGTAGCTCTTCTGGGCGGCGTGACCCCGCTGATGGGCGAGGAAGGGGGGAGCTTCGCCGAAACGTTTGCCGCAGTCGCCGCATTTGTAGGGCCGGTCGGGAGAGTGGGTTTTGCGGTGCTGGAGGAGGTGGGCTTTTTGGGCGAAACGCTCGCCGCAGCTGCCGCATGGAAAGGGGCGTTCACCCGTATGCACCCGCCGGTGCCGCTCCAGGTGGGACGCCCAGACGAAGCCCTTCCCACAATCGGCGCAACGGTGGGCGCGCTCCCGCCGGTGACACCGCTGATGCCGCGCCAGTGCCGGCCCAGCTCGGAAAAGCTTGCCGCAGTCACTGCAGCGCAAGGCCTTCTTGCCCAGGTGGGTTCGGCGGTGACGGGCCAGGTCAGAGCTCTGGCAGAAGGTCTTGCCGCAAGCCGGGCAGCGGTGGGGCCGCTCGCCGGTGTGGCTGCGGCGGTGCTTGGCGAGGTGCGAGCCTTGGCTGAAGGCTTCGCCGCACTCGGCACAGCGGTAGGGCTTCTCCCCGGTGTGCACCCGCCGATGCCGGGCAAGGTGGGATGCCCAAACGAAGCCCTTGCCGCAGTCACTGCACTTGTGGGGTTTCTCGGCGGCATGGCCCTGGCCGTGTGCCGCCAGCTCGGCGGCGCCGGCGAAGCGCTTGCCGCAGTCGCTGCACTTGTGTGGCCGGTCGCTGGCGTGGGTACGGCGATGCTGGAGGAGGTGGGAGCTCTGGCTGTAAGTCTCGCCGCACTCGGGGCAGCCGGAAGGCCG